CCTATTCCTGAAAATAGTATCATGCATGACACATGAAAGCATCTAAATGCTTAATTTTCACAAAATCCAGGGCGAATTTCACTTCACACAAATAAAGGTGTTTGTTGTACCAGGCAAGGCTTGCACAGGCAGAGCATCCCCCTGTGCTCTGCCACTTTGGAAAGGAACCGAAGCCACGAGAGGGCACTCTCGTAATCTGCAATTTGAATTTTGGCTGCCTAGCTTTTTCATTTTTAATTAAAAGGAAATCTGACTGTTTTGCAGAATGAAGAGATTGTACTTGACACAACAAGACAAAAGATTTTTCTCAAAATTAAAGGAAGCTAATGATATCTACGATATTTTCACATTACACCACATTAGCTAAAGAAACAGAATTTACTGATCAACCAATGCTTACTTCAAAACTGTATTTTGCAGAAGCAAAACATGATTTGCATTAAAAACTAGCTCATTCTGTTTATGACATCTTTCAATTTATAATATTTTAGTCAGTGAGGGTAGAAGAAACCTCCAGCAACAGAAGCACTGCTGTATGTGGTTGGTAGGCATAGATGTGATCTCAAGCACATTGTCTGACTACAAATCCAGGTAAATATGCTTAATCAGATTAATCTTTCTTAAATCACTGTGGGGCTGACTGTGGAAATTTTTTCTAAAAGATATTCAGTCACCTCATACAGAATATATATATTTAGTACTGCATTATCACGGCATTATCACAATCTCCTTTCTTATTTTCTTGGGAAAAAAGAAGTCTTCAGAATAGCCCACTCTCACCACGTTTTTCAGGTTAGGAGGGTAATCAGTTACTAGAAGTCCTTTGTACCTAATGATTATGTCATTTATTTTACTGGCCATTGTAGGGATATTGATAAATGGGGCACTCCTGAAGGTAAGGTTATTCTGAACACATCTTCCTCCTGACACTTGCTGTCTTTGTTGAACAGATGCCAAGCACACCTACTGCAAGCTGAATTATATATTGTATAGTCTCTAGGACATGCTTCAATAAAAGTGAAAAACCTCCATTTGCAATAGGCTTAAAAAAAAAGAAAGAAAAAACCTCTCTTCTGTTTGAGAACACCAAGAAAAAAGTTTAGTCTAACTCGATTTTCATTAAAAGTGTTTTAAAAACCTTCTTAGATGCTGTATTTGGATTCTGCAAAGTCATGGTGAGTAGTTCACTTGGTATCTTCAATATAGCAACATTTAAAGCAGTGCTGAGACACAGTGATTGGTAAATCCACACTTAAAATCCACATGCCTGTGTCCATTACAGATGGAAAGTAGTAGGTGCCTAAAGGTACAGGTAGAATATACATTTTCTGAGAGACAAGGGGCATTGCTAAGTTACTAACTGCAAAGGGAACTTCTAGTTCTTATTTGGTATTCTGCTAATCTTCTAGTGTTTTATTTGCCATAAAATACATTATGACTGTTGATATCCTGACATGGTCCATTTTCAATAAGCTGCCCCAACACCTGATATAACAGGAAAATTACAAAGATCATATTCATGAAATCAAACGGATCTTCCTGGCATTCTAACCAGGATCATAATAAACATGCTCTCTTTTTAATTATACATTAATTTGAAACAATTTTACAGAGCTCCTACTGCATTTAGGTCCCTGTGTACCCAGAGATCTGCATTACCTGAGCATATAAAGGCACAGAATTAAAACACATTATGCAAAAACGGAATGCTCCATAGTCTAAAGCATGCCCTGCTGTACCTTGCTCATCAATAGTTAAAGGAACTCAGCAGTATCAGTCACAAGATACTGCAAAGAGAGCCTAAGCAATCTCATGCTTGCATTAATTTTTATTTCAAAAATTTTAGCTGGTGATTTCTTGTATCTTCCACATTCCTAATTAATGTAAGAGATGAAATATACCCGAGACATATTATTAGCTCTAGGCATGAAACAGTTAACAGCAGTGCACATGCCAAGGTTTTAATAAGGCTTAACAATAAAACGCTTCAATCCTCCACTTTCACTGGATTTTGTTGTTGTGGTTTTCCCTTGCTTAGGGCAATCCATCTGTTAATGTTGACTTGCAGTAGAGCTAAGCTCACACATGTCTGAAGAGCCCCGAAGAGCCAACCTGAGCAGGAGTGAGCTGAGCTGAATATTGCAGAGAGGAGCGGCTGCTCTGGGCACAGATTCATTGTGCGCACACGCGGGCACGTACCAGTCACTCCCCTCAGCTCCTGCTTTTAGCAAACACTTTCAACATGCAAATTATAGGAGGGCAAGCCAAGCGCTTCAGTTTGCAATAAAGCATTTAATTATTTATCCTCTGGTTAGGTTTTGACAGCTATTTTAGATGCTATAATTTTTTTTTTTTATTTACTGCTGATTTTTCTTAAGCCTATTGCCAATCTGGAAGAGAAAAAAAATACAATAAAGCCACTATGACAGCAGTGATAAAGCTTAGTAAATATTCATTGTTAAAAATGGCTCTGCACTGTGACCAGTGCTGGTATTCTCCCTGGGCCAAATTGGCTGTGTTTTCAATAAAACCAGAGAAGTATCCTTTCCCTTGAGCCCTGTTAGGCTGAGGCTGCAGTTGGAACTGTCATCCTCACACAAAAGCAAAGGGGTTGGGTTTTACAAACGCAAAGCCTAATTGGGAGATCTTCATGGCTGTACCCTTGACATTTATTAAAGCCTCATCAACAAAACAGGAAATAACCATACTAATTAGCAGACCCATATACAAACTCCTGTTTGTTGGGGTAAAAGGAGATTCACTTCCTATTGTAAAGAAAACGTCCTCTCAGATCCCTAAATCCTGTATGAACGATTTTTAAAATTATCTTTCTCAGAAAAGCAAACTTTCGTATCTTACATAACTTTTCAAAGTATGTTTTACAACATCTCAGGTAACTCTTAGTATTTAACTGTTTCCAAGTAGTGGAGAAGGAAAACCTCAATGCATACTTCTAATATGACATAAAATATTACACAAAATCCTTTGTATTTACAATTTTCTAAATGTTTCAGTATGGAAGAGTTAGTAATAAAGAGCAAAGGTGCCTCTATTTTGGAGGCAGGATGACCATTAAAAGCAATCCCTCTCTTGTTCATTGTTTATCTAAGTTTGGTGTTTCAGTACACCAATGTAATAACTTAATCAATGTCTGGTCATTATTTCAAATATGTATCAAATTGCCTGAACCCCACATTAGCACTAACTTTATACAGCCACTGGTGAAGATAATTTTAGAAATCTGGGTGAAGAGTCTCATTTGCAGGATAAAGACTACCAGAAAAAGGATTAAATCTGATAACAACAGCACTCAGAATCTCACTTCCTTTAAACAGCAGATTCAGTACTAGATCAAGCACGATCTGTCTCATACACATGCATTGTGAATACCAATTTATATTTTTATTTGGATGTATACCTTAAAATCTCCACTTATTAATAAAGAATTTATGTTATCTTATTCAAACACCAAGACCAACAATAAAAACAAGAGTAGCAACAGCAGACTTGTTTTTCAGAAATCCTTTGGTTTGTTTGCTCTTGGGGAGGAGGAAAAAGAGAATGGCATGAGTGAGAGGTGAAGGAGTTCTTGGAGCTGCTCCTTCCTGCCCACTGGGCTCATGTGACATTTGGGACAAGAGCTGGGGAGAAGACACCTTTGGTTTGGAGCAGGGGAAAAATGTGAGGCTCTCAGCTCCCAGCTTTGTTGGTAAATACACCCCACGTAGACACATGCATGTCTGTGTGCATACACATCCAATAACACGTCCATGGATGCATGGAAACAAAGCCAGGCACACATCTGACTCCTGCCTTGTTTGCAAAGCTAAAGGACAACTGGTACAAACAGCTCTGATTACAGGATTTGGTACTGTACAGCTGCACAAACGCAAAAACACAGACAAGTTCCATTTTTCTGTTTGAACACACACCTTCAGAAGAAATCCTTAATTGTAGCAAGGTGAATTATATTCCTTTGTATCCCTAGACTCCTGTACATCACAATAGGCAGCACTACCGTATCAGCAAAGCAGAAAGTCTTTGTATTATTTATAATCTTACCAAAAATAATTAATACTAATGTACAATTTCACCATCATTTAGCAATCATCTGCACCAGTTCTATGTTGTATTTCAAAAACTTTATATTTACTACTGGTAAAAACTAATTTAAAATCAAATTGATTAAATAGACAAGCAAGATTTTTATTATTGCAGTACCTAGAGCAAAAAGTAAATGTTGTTGGATTAGTTAGACTGATTTTATATACTTAATTCTCATATTAGGAAGATACAGGCATTAAAAATCCACATACATTAAAAACAATATAATGCAAAAATAAAAACCCATACATTAAAAATATGTATATATGCAGGTAAATATTTGCAGGAAAGTAAGGTGTTAGAAAAACTACTTTGTTGATATATTTGAAATAAAACTGTCAAAATGAATCCAAAAACATTAGAACACTTGCCAAAGTTGAGACATCACACCTGTTACTTCAAATCTAGACTAGAAAGGATTAGAGAACAAAAGCCAAGACATTGGCACTGCATTAACTAGCTGACTTATTAACAAAATAATGAAACATAACTATCTGAACAAGGTTAAAGGCCATACAACTGCCAAAACAATTTATTAGAAACACAAAATTAATATGCCTTAAAAGAAAAGAGATAGCTTAATACAGATCTATGAATAGACCAGAACATATTTTTGTGAGAAGCCTTTCTCAAAACCAGTATTTAAGAATTAAATCTCAGATCCATACTTACAAATCTCCTGTTCTTCCCCTCTCAACAGGGATGAAACACAAATAGCATTTTTTTCTCCACACAAGCAGTGCAGCAGTATTTCTATAAGCACAGCCTTTAATCACACTATCCAAACACAGACAGGAAAATCATCTTGGAAACAGATTCACAAACGCACTACTGTAAGCAGCAAATTTTTTTCCCTAAATGTATGTGAATACAAACAGAAGTTTCAGGTGTCTTACCTGTGCCAGTCTTCGTTTTTCTGAGCTTGTTCTTTTGTCATAATGTGATGTGTAGGCAGGAACAGTCTGTACTGCACCAGCACTGCAAGTTCCATACTCTTCCTCACTCTCCTATGCAACAAAACAGATTTAAATTCCTTTATTTATAATCATCATCTGCAAACATACTCTCCATATTATGCATGCAGAATGCATTCAAAATTATCTTGCCACAATCTATTACTGTCATGAAAATACCATCTGTAGTAAGAAAACCAAATTTAGCTTTTCAAAACGCTGGATTACCAACACGGTCATTTAAAAGCTGAATTGTTCAAATGTTTCTGAAATTTTTCTTAAAATAGCACAATAGGTATCCAAAAAATGGTTCCTTCTCTGTACAGAAAAATCTTACATGGAAGCAAAATTCCAAATGGGAAAAGCAGCTGCAAAATGCCTAAACCATCTTTTCGGATAGCTTGTGAGGTTGCTTTTGCAAAATGAAACTATTCATTCATCTTGAAATCCTGCTATTGTTCGTGTATCTTATGGAACTAAAACTGGACAACTGCACCTCCTGAAATACACTGTACTGCAAGACTCTCCCTTCTCAAATTCTCAGCTTGAAGCAAAGGCTTTGATTGTGATATCAAAGCAATCAACTTTATGAAAACATACATCCTCTTAATGTATCTTTGAAGACCTCTGTTGTTCTATGATAAAATATGCAAACAATAAAGAGATTATTCAGAGGATGCATAGAATGACAGATAGTTGCCAGAGGGCTCGTTATGAAAAATGTATTGTTGAACAAAGGGCTAAGCATATTTCAAAAGTCATTAAAAACACAAATCTCATGTGATTTGTAAAGTATAAGCTTCAAACTGATACAGGAAGCAGTGTAAGAAAGTAAATAAAGTTTACTACATACCTTGTGTTTTAACTTACTCTTCACTTCTTTTATTCCTTGCCTCGCCTGGTTTTTTGCCTGGAGAAATAAAAGGACTTAAAATTGCTCTGCAAGACACTGGCTGTAGTCACAGAACATGCCTTATGATACTACACTTATTTTGCCTTTTTTTTAAACACCTAGTAATATAGAGAAGGGCAATAACTTTTATCACAAATTTCAAACATGACTTCCACGGTATTTTTTATTTTTTTGCTTTCTCCACAGATTTAAAGATTTTTTTTCAGTACATCCACGCCATGGCTGTGAAAACATACATTGCCAATTATTACTAGGCACAGGCTAAGAATGGTCATATACATCCCTCCTTTATTTGAAATGCTCCTCCAGATTTGAAAGGGTATTTTAGCAATAAAGCATGTTGAAAAAATGTTAAGATTTTTAAGATGACTGCTACAGTGTTCCAGTCTGGCAACTTGCAGGGCAACATCAACCTTAAGAGAATGAAGTGATTTCATATGCAGATGGAGATTTTGCCCAGTGTTGCTGAACAGCACAGTGCTGCTATTTAGGGGGGAATTCTGTATGCATTAAAAGAGGCAGACAAGAATCACTGTTGCATAGAAAACAGCCAAGAATATTCTTCAATACAGGAAGAAATTATCAATAAAGAATACCATGTTGTTAGGCTAAAAAAAACGAGAGAGAGAGAGAAAGAGAGAAAGAGAGAAAGAGAGAAAGGGAAGGGTGGAGAAGGAAACAAAATAAAGGATGGGGTATAACACCTAAAACCCTAACAGAAAAAAAGTTGTCTTTCCTACACAAATATGGAAAAAAATTACAGAAGTTTTAAGGTTGTCTTTAAAATATATATTTTTAAAATATATTCAAAGGCATAAATATCTGAAAACCACCTATTTTTTCTGTGGTGGCAATTCAGAAAAAAAAAAAAGTTCTTGAATCAAGAGGCCATAGAGTCTTTTTGATCCTTAAACCATACATCCATAAGCTCAGTAACAGCACGATGGGGTGCCATGTACCAGATGCTAACCTGAAAGCCACTTTAAACTTTCCAGATCCTGCTCACAGCATTTGGAGGAATTTTGGAGTGCTTTGTTCTAACTCTGAGGGATGCTACCAATGACATTATTGAAAACTCCCATCAGTTATGTGGCAATTAGGAAATGAATATTTCAGTCCTCTGGTAGCAGGCTCCATAAAGGACAACAATGTAAGAAATTAAATGGGGTAGAAATATGGATACCATATACATAGAGATCCTCGGAAGTTTACTGTAGTTTCCTGGCATAAACAAAAGTTCACTTTGAAGAACCTTTACTATCAAGGGCATAATTATCAAAATTGAAGGTTGAACCACAGTCTAAAATAGTGCAAATGAAGAAGAGTAATTTGCAGATGAACCATTTTTTAAATTATAAATGAGTCCATGAATATGAAGTATATTTAATTTATTTACCTGTTTCCCTCCATGACTGCTGTGTTTTTCAAGTGATATAAAATTAAAAATTCTGTTTGAAAACTTTATTTAAAATACTCTAGCACAGACTGATTTACTGATTTATTCAGCACTATTTATAATGCATCCAGCTAGTGAAACATTTGGAAAAGCAAAAAGGAAGCCAAAAATCTTTTCCCATACATTATAAAAGCAACTTTAAAATACTTCTCAGTTCCTTTTTTCCTACTGCTGTTTTACCATACTGCATAATACAGTATAATCTCACATGTTTCATGGGGTAGGCAGCCTTTGAAAAACAAGATCTTGTAAGATGAAAAGTATAAGCATTAAACCCAGTTAAACATGGGTATTCCACTATGATTTTTAAAAAGGAGCAGATGATTTGCTGCACACATTACTGATGCTTTACCACATCTCAATAGTGCAGCACTTACTGCCAAAGTGAAATTACAGCTGTGTATCAAATACCTAAATGATATTCAAATGAGCTTCTAGTGTGTATTAGGACTGAAAGAAACCCAGCACACTGATGCTTTGATAAAGTCTATTTTATGTATAAGCTATCTAAAAGACTCTGAATCAACCCTAAATCCTAGTGCTATATGAGAAAACAAATTAAGCTAAACACTTTCTACAGGCTGAAGTACTTTTTTGCAATTTATTTATAAAAAGCTTAGGTTTTTCAGTATGCAGGGAGAATGAGAGGTTGTCAGAAATTGCAGTATTTTTATGTATTATTTATTTGAAATAGATGTTCTTACAAATTTATATGCTGTTTTCACAGCCGGAGTGGCTTTGGTCATTGCTGTGTTGATCAGTGCACCGCCTTTCTGAAATACACAAAAAATCTATTTTAGTAACATTTTAACAGAAGGCAAACCTTAAGACAACAGCAAGGAAAAATAAAGAGTGTGCTGAGAAGTAACAACCTTCCTTTGAAAATGGGTAAGAGCAAGCACAGCTGTGTTTCCTCCCCAACCTGCTGTCTGCAGCTACACAAGGGTTACAGTACGTCATTCCACAGCTGACACATTTATCAAGGCACTCCAACAGAATGATGGATCTTTGGTCTTCATTCACCGTTACCATTTCAAAATCAATTCAGAAGTGAGGCTATTTTTCATGTGTTCCTATCATATTTATTATGCAACTAAAAAATACTTTGACGTGACAAGAAGAACTATCTCATTTAATCACACAAGAATTCTCTTAATCTAAAATAATATATTTTACTAATGCTGCAGAATAACAAGGTTATACCAAGGGTCTTCTGCTAGCCAAATTGCACAAATCCATATTAACAAAATTGCTATTTACTAGAAGTGATAAGCTTCATATCAAATTGTCACACCTAATTCAGTGTTTTGGAATGTAACATGATACAGAAAGCAGTGAAATCTTGGACTATACAGACATAAAAACCTTATGCATTTTGACATTTGTTTTGTGTACGGGAATTTTTAAAAAATGCTTCAAAAAGTTTTGCATATACTATAGACTTAGTATTTCTTATAGAATGTACTTATATCTTTCTCACAAATGTACAAACTTTTACCATTACACAGAGGTAAGGAAAAGGATGGAGACCTAAAGGACAAGGTGGCCAGTATAATTACTTAACCAAGTTTATACCTTCACTGTGTGCATCCACTGCTGATAAGATCTTGAATTTCCTGAAAGAGAAATGTCAAATTAACACAACCAAACATACATTCAACATTTTAAATGTTGCAACCCTCTTCATTATTGGAATAAAAAATGCACTTAGAGGATTACTTAATTAATTCCTTCCAGACAGACAAGGAATGTGAAGATAATAGAATGTGTACACGAAGAAAGAAACCCAGGAATCTCTCATTGCTTGTTTTCTGTTTCCTTTGTAAAGGCTTATGTTTTCACCACACAAAGGTTTTAATTCCAATTGATGTAAAAGAGAAATTATAACTACAATAAGGTAACACACTCCTAGAAAGTATAAAAATTAAAACACTAACTCAAAGGAAAGAATAATATATTAATTGCATTCAAGCATAATGATCCCTCTGGGCAAACTTTCAAACATAGCAATGACATGGACTCCAGAAGGTACTATACCAAAGGAAAAGAACAAGAGAAAAGTCTAAGGCTTATGACACAACTGTATAGTCCCATGCAGAAAAAATCCTTTTAAATTATTAACTGTATCTGCTTTCTTTCAGAAAGAAAAACCTCTAAAGGCAAGAGAGAGCTACTGGCTTCTGTAGGACCACGGAGGACTAAACTGGCCACAAAGGAGCACGTTAAATTCTACTTGATGAAGAAGTCAATAATACTTCCCAAAGGTGCTTCAGCTGAACAACAAAGATTAGGTCCACGATCCCTGAGAAAGTTTTAGAGTACATCAGTCACTCAAATGCTCCAGCACTGTGAGCTGCTACTGACCCCATACAAGACATTCACTTTGACAAGAACGCTCCAGTTCCAGCGTTTGACCGTGCTGAAAAGACCATACCGATAGAACATTATAGACTTTTAACAGGAGCTCACAAAACTCCTCAAGTGTTACAATAATCCATTAACTAGGCCTGGTTAGAATTATTCCACTGGCTAATGAGAGCCAAAATACACTCCTAGAACATTTCTGAGAACTAGCTGGATCATTGGAAAAGGTATTCCCAATTTTCAAAATGAGATGAAGAAACATGAACTCTTTAGACCCATATCAGGTACTTTCACCCATTCCACTCAACTTTACAAGCAATTTTGAGACAGTCAAACTCTCAGGAATGACAGTACAACTGAAAGCAGTGCTTCCTTAGAGAGGAGACACCCTCATAACCATTATGATCCCATCTCCATTAAGAAAGGAAAAGAGCACCCCAAAGCAGAAACAAGCATTTTTCAATTCTTTGATTTGGCTCCCTAGAGCTGTCAGGGAAGAAAGCACACAAATAACATGTATAAGGTGAAATTTAACCACTGCTGGGGTGTTAAGGATATTGAATGAGCCATAAATGCTTTCTTTAACATGGTATTTTATAGCTTCAATTCTTGTCAACAGTGTTCATGTATCACCTGCCTTGAGGCGTCCTTAACAGTGACTCCATAGCTGAGCTTTCTCTGTCACAGCCTGACTTAAACAATTAATAGAAACAATAAATGGGATCACAACAAATGACCAAGTTTAATGTTCATGTAGTGACTTCAGGGACGACAATCAAGAAAACAGATAAATACTCATCTACAGACAGCCATGCTAACATTGCAACCCTCAGCTAGAGCTGAACCTCCTGAAACCCTAGCAAAAAATAAAAAACTGAACCCTTAAAATGAATTATCATTACAAGGGAGTTTCAAATGTTTTTATTTTTTTCAGTTTTACTTCTATTAGCACCAGTGATATTAGATGAATAAAAAAGGAAAACCTGCTGTAGTAAAATTAATATGATTAAAAATTAACACATTCTACAAGAAATCCGAGTGCTAAACCAATCCATCACTATATTCTTGTATTGAAAGTTACGTAAAGCTCTTGAGAACAAATACTTCTATAGAATAAAATGTAAGAGAAAATAAAATTTTAATTAGAAAGTGCAAACTGTAATGAAAATGTCTCACAAATTTATTTTCAGATGTAGGCACACAAGTAAGTTTTGACCATTTTTTTTAAGAAGAAAATCATTAAAAATGAAATTTAAGTTTTATTCTTCAATTTTCAATTTAATTTTATTTTCTGGTTTAGTCAAAGTGGCATAGGTGGACAAATGCAAATTTAAAAAGAGATTACTTAAAGAAACACTTTCCATTTGAATTTGATTCGGTAGTTTCTAAATTATACTGTCTACACTACAAATGTGTTCACCTGTCCTTTTAACAGCTTGGAGCTAACACTAACTTTCTGTGACTTTTCTGAAATCTGGGTTTCACCTGTATTTTTCAAACCTTGGGCTTCCTGCTAAAGTTGACGGGAGTTAAGTCCACAAAGAGATCATAGTTCTACCCCATTAGCATCACAAAATGTCACCTTCAATTGCACACATATTGTTAGCCCTGCACTTCATAACAATAATGAGACAGCAGTTATGTAAATACTGAGTATGTGCCCTAAGCAATTTGTCCACAGCCTGGCACTATCAGCTTGTGTGACTGGAAAAGCTCACAGGCAGTGCAGGGCAGCCCAGCGCTGCCAGCAGAGCCGAGTGCTCCCTCCTGAGCAGAGCCAGGTGAGACACAGTTCACAGCCTGCCAGAGCACAGCCAAGAAACAAGCCTTATCTAACTTCTACTGCAGTTTTATTGCAGCCTCCTGACCCCTAACTGCAGTCAGCAAACGAGCTCTGAATACTGACATCACCTATCTGAATAATGGATGCTCAAAGTCTCCAATCTGTTTACAGAGCAGTGTAACTTACCCTAAAAAGGCAGGGAAGAAGTAAATCTCTGTATAACTAGCCACAATTTAATCAAGAAACAAAACCCCAGATTATGTGCTAAAATCTTGAACAAAAGAAATTATGCATTTTGAGTACAGCGAAGTTATTTTTTTAGGAGGTGCAGATGGCTCTGCAGCACTAGCACTGCAGATAGTTTCTCTGTGAGGGCCAAATCCTCTTCTCAATGTGTCCCATTCAAGGACAGTTTTGCAAAGGAAGCCCATCCAAAGCTGCCATCTGCACCTCAGTGGAGTTGCTCAAATCACATAACCTCCATCTCCTTTATCTCCATCTCCACAACTTTCAAGACTGACCATAAAATAGCATTTGTGCACATTTTGATCCCATCTTTTGATACCATCTCTTACACATGGGCTGGTTTTGGCTGCAGGAAAGTGAGCAGCTGTGTGGTGCTGGGTTTAAAACATGACAATACCTGAAATAACAATACACCTGTCCCTAAATGTTTAACAGGAAACCACTCCACAATCCTGTAAAAATCAGCACTGGATTCAGGATGCACTCTTCCACATGGGTTAGCTGATGTGAAAAGTGTTGTACCAATTGTCAGTGAACACAGAGGCAAACAACATGAGGAATAATATTTTTGCTAATGAAGAAGATAAATTTCCATGTCCCTTCTCAGATCACATATAAACATTTTAAAAAAGCTTTCCCTTATTTTAGAATAACACATTTGTTGGAGAAAGTAGATTTCTCTTAACATTCAGGACACCACTGTGATTTCTACACTGCAGAAATAAGTAGATGTGAAAAGAAAATGAAATGCTTATGGAAAACAATTATCTAGAAGTTAAGCAGCACAAATGTCAAAACGACTTTGAAAATACAGTTTACATAGAATGCATCACATTATATAAATATGCAGTTAAAAATGTAAACACTATAGTGATAGCTCATCCTATATTGAAATCTAGGTATTATTTTACTGGTCTACTGTTTTCCTTCATTATTGGAAAGATTTTAGCCTTTAAAAAATCACTGCTGGGACACATATTATTATGAATCTAGTTACACCAGTGTATTAAATGAAGATATGTTTGTTTAATCCTGTAAAATGATACTTAGATTTCAGATCAGTGACTTCTAAAACTTACAGGACATCATGAGGACATCATGTCAAACAGTTCCCAAAGAAGTGTCAATGAGTACTCCCAAATTAATTCTGTACCTCCACAAAAGCCTCCTGCTGTGATTTCCTCTTCAAAAACATCAGAGAATCCTCTTCCTGCGTTTAATTTTGATAGCCGACCATCAATGAACTGGAGGTGAAAAAGAAGGGTCACACACACTTTGTTGTCTCTTCTATTGTTTTACAGTGTTAGAATTTTAAATGTGTCCATTTTAATGGAATCTGTATGTTCAAGACCATGTATGTCTTAAGGATAATACACTGCTCTCAGATGTGCCTTACAAGAGCAGGTGTAACCATGAACAGTAGGAATGTAAGTACAGATCAAGAAAATTATTTATATTTATATTTTCTGTATTTTTCTAATGGAAGGAAAAGAATTTATTTCCTTACTTAACAGAAACGCTGGATTTGTTATCATAACTATATAAAGGTCACTCAGCCATTCCCTGATGTCCTGTTGTGAAATCGTGGGTCTTTTTAAGCACTAACCCTTATTATATATGCAAATTGCAACAGTTGTCCTTATGCAGAGGTTACAGCTGCATGAGCACATGAACTTGCAGCTACAGGTAAGTGTATATACAAAGACTGAAATGATCCAAGTGTGTCAGAAAAAGTCAAAATGAGAAAATTAACAATTAAACCACTCAAAAGGGATGATATGTTCTTTTCAAAAATTATCAGGCTTCAAGGAAGTAGAACAAACACATTCCTATAGATTTAAAATTCTTTCAAGAAGCAACCCCTCCCTTTTTGTTATGAAAAGGCTAACTCAAGTCTGACAGATAAAGTGAGAAAGCAATTTTCCAATTACACACAGTTCATCTTCTAGCAAGAATTATGAGTTATTCACTGGTACTAAACAGTACATAGGAATGAACCAGCATTAATTATTTGGCTGTATCATTTTTCATGACTGATTATCCAAACAGTGTCAGTGACAATCTGATTCTTGCCAATGAATAGACTAGTGACATGAAAAAACAACTTTCTCATAGTACAAAAATTCCAGAAGCAAGAATAAGGTAAGCACGAAGATATTTCTCTCTTCCTTGTCTAAATTCCTTCCTATTTTTTCACTTTACTCCAAGTTGGCCTTTTTCCAAATAGGCTGGTTCATGGTCAGACCACTGTGGGATTCCTGGATTATTTCACAGTAAGAAAAAGAGATAAGAGCACCTTTAGCTACTGCTGAGAAAAAAAAAAACCAACCAAAAACAACAACCTCCACTGCCATCCCCTCCTTTGAACTGTAACACATTATCTCTTTGGGGAAAAGTTATGAATTCATTCCATACTATAAACTAGCACAAGATTTATGGACATACTCATCATCTGGTAAAATCCTATCAACAGAAGGCTGAGACACTGAATTTGAGAGGGTCACACCAATTGAGCATTTAATGTAAATACTGACAAAGAGAACTGTTGGCAAAAAGATACTGGAGACATTATTTAAAAGAAATGATAAGTGTTAGCAGTGGTGTTAGTAGTAGTTATTACTTTTGAGTAATTTACTGTTAATGGTTGCACTTAAACTGCTGCATTAATAGAACAGCATGTGGAATTACACATAAAATTTATGGGTTTTCTCTTTCCATTTTTCAAGCCCACACTCTTCAAGCCCACAGACTGAAAAATATGGGCATGCTCTTTCAAGAAATGTATTCATTTTGAGATCCAAAGAGCCCTTGGGTGACTACCTCCTTCAATGAAAAACTAGCAATTCCAGTTACCCTTGGATTTTAGGGTGACTAAAGACATTATCTTCAATTGATTTTGAGGTCCAAAATCAAAATAGAGACTACATATACTTCAGAATATCCAAGTAATTTTATCCAAAAATAATCAAAGGGTTATTAAAACCAAAGGGTTTTTAAAAACAAAGAAAACATCATAAATTTGACTTCCACAAAGTAAAAGCTCATATCTCAGAGGAAGAGAGTTCAGCTCATAAAGACAGCCAATGATATCTGAATTACTAACAATTTTCAGAGGCTTATGATTCCTGCATTCATTACTTATTTTTCTAAGTAACCTTTTATAACATGTTAGGAACAAATTCCAATAAATGTTGCAGATTATCTTGCTAATACAAGTACACTATTTAGGGAGATAGTCTGGCATTAGGCTTCACTTCTAGGAATGAATTCATATTTTCCCTGGACACTCCTGAGAACTATTTGACACATAAGATGCAATTATTAATTACTTATGTTTGCAGCTTGATACAAAGATTAGTTACCTTCCATGCTACCCTAATTCAAGGGACAGAGAAGGGATTTCACAGAACAGCACAAATAAAGCTCACTTGTGAATTATGGCAAAAAAAGGTGAATTTAAAGTACCAATTTTCTGCTTGGTCTAGGTTTAAGGCCGCCCCTAAGAACTATTTTCTGCTTAAAAGATTTTCAGAGCAGAATAAAATACAGATTGGTCTTTTTCAATACAAACAACTTTGAAAACAGCTCATTTGTCAGTGGGAAAAGCTAGAGAAGATGCAGCTGGGCTGAGGATTAACTGAATAAGTAGGAGTAACCTTTGCAACAAGAACCAGAGGAATGAAAAAAACCCTACCACTACTATTAAACCACACACATCATCAAAATTGTTACTATTTCCTAATCCTCTATTATTTCCTTCAATTGAAATAAAATTAAAACAAGCTATAAACAAATTGTAAACCGATTCTGTTTAATTGAACACATTAAAATGTAATGGCTAAGTACAGAGTCAGCCACTTCATGGCAGCTGAAGGTTTTGTTTCAGTACTACCAGTGTGACAGCAATGTAGAAACATTGCTTGTAAGCAGCTTTTTATTAAGAAAATTTCATGCTACCTTTTCACATGGAGATATGCAAAATGTAAACCACACTTCCATCTTCAATCATACTTCTTCCCATTTCAATCCAATCAATCATACTTCAAAAGGTTTCACATTTCTTATTGCTTATTTTATATAACCATGGTAAAATTAAAGGAGCCCAATTTTGTGATCGTATTTTCACAGGCCTTCTATAAAATACTATCCTCACACAAATCTTTACTTTAGACACTAAACTCTGATTAATGCCAAATGTTTTTTTCAAATATTAGAAGATTCCACATATAATGAATTTCCTTAATCTATCATGGCTGTATATCTTCAAAGAAGTCCCCCTGATTATTTAAACATGAACTCTTGTATATCAATCATTCCAGGCAGTTGCAGGCAAATATATATTTTCATGACTCTTCTGATTTCATTCACATTTTCCTTGATTTTCTTAAAAATCTAGTGCTAAGTTTAACACCCATTTCACGAAATGGGGTCAACTGATGAAGAGGGAGAAGAGTTACAGAACAAAATCAAAGAACAAAATCCATTTCAAAGACTGCAATCAAACTATAACTGAGCTGTGCTGGACATTCAACAATTTGTCCTCTATTAATTCAGATTCTGCATTAAGAGATCAGCTAGAATACTGTTCAGGCCACCCCTACAGCTCAGGTTTGTGACATTCTCTATGTGCATACTTCAAAAGGCCTAGCAAAGAAAACTGTAGTTGCAGGATGATTCCAGTTTTTAAATAAACACCAGTGAAGTCCAATTTAAGTTAAGCACTCTGCTGTTTAGGCTCTTTGGGCATGAGCCAAGAGAGCTGAAAATGAAGTTCAACCATCAGGCTGGGAGATCCCTCATGTTTCTTGTTTAGTTGGGCTGCTGACTGGCTCTGAAGAGATGCTGCACTGGCTCTGCACCCTGGGGTTATTTTTTTGTTCAGTTTCACCACCACTCCATTGAACTGTAACTGCAGATACAAAAATACAACAAATCTGGGATGACTGTACCCAAAGTACTTGTATTTACATTTCATCCCAGACTTTTGTAAGCTGACAGAAAGGAAAATGTATTTAAACACAGATATGTTTTAATAAAAAAACATTAAATATGAGCTATTTACCCTCTCATACCTGTTTAAACAGTTGAAGATTAACAGCTGCTTCCAGGAACTGCTTAGTTGTACTGGAACGATGCTTCACAAAACTATTTTCACAGAAAGTTATAGGCTCTCCCTAAAAAATTGAAACAGAAGAAGTTAGGATGGTAAGCATACATATATATTGTCCTTCAGTCAAAGAATATGTGTCTGCACCACATTAATTTTACATTTATTCTACCAAGACACAAGAAGATAAATATCTTGCTGATTTAACAGGAAATGACTGAAACACACATCCATTTTATTCTTACACAAAACAAAAGCTACAAACTGAACCATGGTTATGGAAAAGGTTTGAGCATTAACACTTAATACAATAAAATGTATTTTCCCACATGGGAAAAGTGCACAGCCTATAGATACCAGAAGCCTTGGATAATGAAAGAAGATAAACAAGTATTCATTGAAAAAGAGTTTGTTGAAAAAGCTGTTACTGAAAACAACAACCATTGAAAGAAAGACATGTTAATGAAAGTATTTATAAACAATCAAATTCATTCTTCTATTCTTCCCTAATTCCATTTAAAATTTGCTGTCTTCAGTGTGCACAGACCTCTGGATGTTCCTGAGGAGCATTTTTCCAACTTTTTCCATACTTTGTAATAAATACTTGAAGCTGTTTGGCATAACTGGACAAGTAACAGAAACATTATGAAGTTTGTGTGGTAATCAAGGTACAAAATCAGATTTCACCATAAAACCAAAAGTCCTCTCACCCAAGTTTACAACACCAGAACGATTACCAGGTTAACAACAATTACCAAAGGTCTCAAAGACACAAAACTTGGAATGCCACAAAATGCCCCACCCAAATCTACCATTTGAAATGTTACTACCCAGAAGCTACATCTCCAGTGCAGTCCCACAGCAGAATAAAAGATCCCTCAGCCACTCAAAAGAAAGATCAAAGGCAGCTGCTACATTGATCTTCAGAAGAGCTCCAGCCACTTTAAAAACAAACATCAATGACCATGATTACTCCAGCTTTGTGCTCCTAGCCCTGCTTAACTCCAATGGCACATGGCACTTCTGCATTTGCCCACCATTCCAGCTCCCTGCAGGGAGGTGCTTCCAGTGTCACCAAGCACTTCCTCCAGGAGACTTAGCTGAGTTTGTTGGAGCAGCTGTAAATTATTTTCAATTCTTCCTCACACCTTACACTTTGTTTTTAAATGGTTCAAATGTGACCTAAGGGAATGCTGCAATAAAACCATTACAATGTCATTTTAAGATCTATTCTTATACTATCAAAAACTTCCCTCCTTCCAAGTCTTTCTTTTATTTCCGACTCAGCAAAGTATTTAGGTTCAACAAGTCTTGCATCCTTACTTCTTTATGGAAGCTCTGATTTTAGGAAAGTTCTCTCACTGGGAGAACTAGAAGCCTTATATTTGCACAATCCTTGCTCCAGAGCTGGAGTGCTCTGAGACACAAACCCAGCTCAGTACAATCATCAAAATCAAATCTCCAGAAGCACCCAAGTTATTCCCTCTATTCATCCCAAAATAACTGGTGAACACAGTACACATGCAGGACATGATGGATCTGCTAAACAGCCTGAAATGCTCGTGGTACTTTAAATAGCACTGCCTTCCTGACCCACTTTGCATTAGCTATTCTTGAGCTCCTAAACACTCTTGTCTTAAGAAGATGACCCCAAGCTACTTAGCAAATCAAAGTGCATCAAAACAAATGGAACAGGCTCCAGTGAGACATGGTGGTATAAGACATAGTGCTCCTGAGGGCAGACTCCCTTCTCAGTTCTGCTGCTCTTCCAAAAAATTTCAATGCAGCAAATTAAAAGAACTCCCTATATACACATATATATGTACACACACACATATCATATTTATTTAATTATTTATTGTTGTTGTTACACAAAGAAGGCACTTCTGGAAATACAGAGGCTTTGTAGGAGTGCAGCTCTGACTAGATGATGCTCACGACATTAAATTTAGGAATAAACAGAGAAAATAATTTCAAAACAAATTATTTAATAAAATAAAACCTAAGATATGCTTCCCTGTGCCAGTCTCCCAGTTCTCTTGGGACAGATGAAAAAGGAGAGGTTATCTCCTTACAGGAGAGAAAACAGGCATGTTAGCTCTGCCCTTTCACACCAGCCAGGGAAGAGAGAGCAGCCAGCCAGTTTTCCTGATGGCACTTCTTGTGGTGGAGCCTTCTAAGAGAACGCCAGGAAACGATAGTTCAACACTCATTTTTAGTGCATGGCTGTAATATTTTCTCAAATACTTTCCTTTAATCACTGGATGTTTCAGATACCTCGTAAGAATGCACTGGTGCATCTCTTCCCTTATCAGTACAGTTCAAACACAGAATAACCAAAGCTATTTCTTTGCTGAAAATTCATTTAATTTGATAAGGAGTTCACATCCAAAGGTCATTCATATTATTTCAACCTGCTGGCTGTGAGACTGATTTAAAAACTTGAGTAGGTTTAAAGCTCCTACCTGTTCAGCACATGAAAATAAGAAAATCTGTTGAAACCTGCAGAAATTCCACATGGAAGTTTTCTCAGGGTATCTGTGGTAACTTTAATGAAATTGCATTAAATAACACAATTAACTCCTAGCTCTTTTATTTGTTCAAGGTTCCAACCAACAAAATTGTTTTCTAAATAAAACTTTTACAAATCTTCCAGATGATTACTGCAAACAAAAAGCCTTTTGAAGCGCTATTTAACAAGTAAATTATTCAATCACTATAAACAAAACTAGCCCTGAGTGTTTTGATACAAAAAGCTTGTAACATTCCTGTTTCTGCAAATACAGCTGACTACCTTTAGAAACCGAGTTTTGGAGGAATGCTGCACTGATATTTATTTAACTGCTCGACCATCAGCTGGCCCCTGCTGTATTGATCTACAATGCACTTTCACAACAAGTTCGATCTAAACCCAGTGGGGACTCTGTACTGAAAAGCAGACAGCTAATACTCACACCAAACAATCTATGCCCAAACATGATATTTGTCCTTCTAACAACAGTTGCTACAGAATTTTCTTCCCCTTTCATAGCTTGCCACACACAGCAGGAATCTCTTACTCTAAGCTACATTCACATTTTAAGCAAGCTATTTATACAGACCTCAATGGAACATGAAAACTGAGCTAAAGCAGTGTGATCATTTTAAAAGGAATAAAATCCCTAGATTAGAAGCTGTGTTTGTGCTTTCTAAATCTCATGATATTTAACTTGAACAAGAAGTAAAAATACTTTTTTATTGCAGAAAACATTGCTTCACTCTAGCATGATTCATACCAACTATTAGTTCTATTGTAACCATTAATATAATTTCATTTTGATATTAGAAGTCCTCTTTTAAAAATCTTTGTCATTTCTGAGATTCATGATATCTCTGACATTCAGAGATAAAGGCCAAGGGGTAACTGAGCATGTGCAGTGATTCTTCTCAGGAAGTTACCATTTACAAACAAATTTTTACAAAATGTGTACATTTCTTGCAATCTGCCAAAAAACCCAAAAAGACTGATATACTGATATTTCTTACAGGCAAATTATACCTAAAACCAACCCCTATTAATACAGTATCTATATTCAAAAAAGGACTATTAACAGTCCTCGACACAAAGTATGGTTTTCAATATGTAAAATAGAATTCTTATGGAAGGCAAATAAATAGTCATAACAGGTATTACACAGGGTGGTTCTGGATTTAAACGCCAATTATATTCTGCCATTTCATTACTGTTGCTGTGTGCTGCTGTACTTTTTATTCCTAACTCTTGGGGGAAAGGTAAAGAAGTCAATACTCATTTCAAGACATACCTGTCATTTTGGAACTCTATAATAATTTATTATCTGTGCATTCTCAAATAATTCAGATGCATTCTGAATCTCAAATTTTTCCAATATAAAATTTATTTATTTTATTGTATTATTCTGATTAATTGTACATTGAATACAACATTTGTTGGACAGCTGATGTCACTGCTTGTCAATACTGGCCCAAAGCATGCAGTTAACATTCAGTTCAAGAGTGGTCTGACAGATTGTGCCATGTTCACCATGAAGGTTATCCTGTCCCCCTCCAAACTCCTACTGCTGAGCATTCCAGAGCAAGCCAGCAGCCTTTGCTCTTCATTCCTTCATTTCTGATGAGTTCTGATGTTACAGCCATCACAACTTGAAAGAAAGCTATTCTGCATTTCTTTTGTTTTAACATCGAGAGCTTCAAGGACTTTATCCCCAAAAGAAGGGAAATTAATCTCTACCATGGCAAATATTTTTATACTCCTTCTTCATTCTCTTATCTACCACTCCCTTTCCAGACATAGATTGCCTTTTAAAGAATTCTTTACATCCCATATTATTTTATAAACTGCCCATATTGCATATGATTTATGAAAAACATGTACTAGTCTTTGCCTTCATCTGCCCATGTACAGGCAGGAAGAACGTGTAAAGCAAAACAGTTGGGAAAAACACAGCATCACACATACCCTGATAACAAAATGACACAAACTTCACAACTGCCATATTTGTGTCTGTGTCCCACCTATGCCTTCAATTCTGAAACATGGAACATGCAGCATAATCCAGGAGAAATTCCCAAATGCTGGACTACCCAAAGAAATTAGGAGCAACACAAGGGTCAAGGCCAAGTTGTGAGCACCCAAAGCAAGGTCTCAAAATGGATTGCTATGTCCTCTGTGTGAAGGAGACCATATACAAAACCATTATATTTCACCATTCCACTGATAATACTTTTTTCTGGATTCTTTTTAGGTCATTTATCAGATGACACTGAAGCAATTTTTTCCATCATCCCCACATACCATGTGTGAGGTGGGTTCATTCTGGGTTAAACTAAAGCAGAGTTCCAGCTAGTCATGGGTATTCAACACCAGACTAGAATCAGAAGCACAAAGAAGGCAGAAATGCACACTGTGTGAATAACAGGTCCTTAGCACTAGCTGGGCTGCTTTGCTCTACAGATCCACTCCTATTACACAACATTTGCTAATGCAAAGTGTAGCATATTAAAAAGTACTCTTAACAGTTATATCAATTTGACAGATTAATTTAGTAATAATTAAATCAGGAAAAACAGTTATTTTTTTTTCTTTTACTGAATTAAGTGTTTCATGATCATTGAATATGCACAAAAATTATTATAAATTTTCTCTATTACATGTCATATTTCCTGTCTGTATTGGAGTAATCAGATTTTCCATATGGTCCTTTGGAGGCCCACGAACTCTCTGCAAGACCCCTGAAGATTCCCATTTTGCCTTTCACCAATCATTTTTTTCAATAATTGCTAGACGTTTGTCCAAGACATATTGCTACACCGGGGAGAATCTGTCCTGTGCTGCAAACAAACATTTGCACAGAATGAGTGCTCAGTGTGATGAACAGCGTTTGGAGTGGAGAGAAGTGTTGGATCAGTACAGACACTATTAAAGCTGTTCTTTACTCATAGTGAATATTAATGACAGTTGTTTCATGTTTCAAGTTGAAATCATACAGGACACGCTGTTGCAAGGAAAATAGTTCACTTAGACATGTTTTACAACTTTGAAGCAATTGATAACTGTCCAAATACATTATTTTATTTTTCATCAAGAGCTTTGTCATCCTCAGAACTGTACCCCAAAAACACCTCAATTCTTGATTTTGAGATTACAAGTTTATTTATAGAAGTAGTATTTCAAATCTATATGGAAAATATTTTAATTTAATTATTACCTCTATAAATTTTCTACACAAATACTACTTAAGTTCCTGAAAGAATGTAAATTAAGTCCGTAGCTGTGGTTTAAATTACTTTATTAGATCTGGCACCACAGATTCCAAAACAAAGGGAAGTATTTTCTTTGCAATAGCAGTTATCAGGCTTTGAGACTCTTGAAAAATATTCCTAATACAGCCAAATGTGATTTGATTTTTTCAGCTTTCCAATTCACAAAGGAAAAGGCAAATGCAGAATGAGCTGAATAATCATGTGAAAATCCTCTTAATTTCTATTAATCCAGAGCAAATTCAGTATTTCTTTCACAACAAAAATTATTTGAAATACTGAATTAGTTAATATTATGAGAACACAGCTCAAAATAACAGTTACAAGGGGGTTTTATTTATTTTTATATATGCTTTGTCTTTGGACAACTTGATATCAATCCAAGATATGCTAGTATTTGCCAGCAGACTTCTGCCTGCTAAGATATTCTGAAATAAAATGTCTTAAAAAAAAAATTAATCAGGCCACAATGGTTTCATAAATATCTTCCCTTATATGCAATCAATGGAGCCAAAAAAGATAAATCTGCAAATGAAAATAATGCAGAAAGACAGACTTCAAAGGTCATTTTGACAAATGTTTGCCAGTTGATACATAGTGCACTGTTTCCTATACAGTGCAAATGTAGAGATCTCAGATATACCAACAGCTAAACTGAAATAAAATGGGAATCAGTTAAATGGTGAGCTCTTTTCAAAAGAGATGCTAACCAGGATGCTGAAGAACTTGCATGCTCAGTTCCACAGTTAGCAAAACAAAGGACTGACAGAAGCTTACTTCTGGTCAGAACAGAGTTAAGGACATCAAGCAGACTGACATCCTTCTGTTTGCACATATCCCAAGTGTCCAAAAGACACTTTCTGACTTAACAGCTCTTACTGCAAGCTGCCATGAGTTGGCATGGACTAGTGTCCTCACCTTTAGACTAAGGAGCAAATTAGATTCAGGTGATGGCACTATGGCATAAAGGATAACAAGCTGTTTTGTTGAAATGATTTGTTTTATTGAAACAAGCAGTTTTTTAACCCAGCAATTTCTAGAACAGGTGCAGCCCTTTCAATATGGAATGCAAACAGGATTTCCCTATCATAAGAGAAACACGGGAACTAAACCTGTACACAGCTCCATGTCTGCATGGGTTACCTTCCCTCTCCTAACAGTGGCTCTCAGTGGCAGCTGCTGTGCAAAATTGCTCATGGCACAAAAGACTACCCTTAAGAGAACCACATAGGGAGAAGGAAGACCCAAGCTGTATTTTAAAGTTCCCTCCAGCAAAGCCCTCGTTTGGAATTAATAACGACTCTATCCATTTCCATCAAGGAATACCATAGCTCCTTAGAGTGCTCTTCTCACCCTCAAACAAATATCCACCCATGTTCCACACACCTACCAGCTTTACTACCTTGACTCCTCAAGTCAGGATGGTTTTCTCCTATCAAATCTCAATTTATCAGAATCCATCAGACAACCAAGCACCATATCCTCAGAATTCGATTCACCCAACGTCATCTCAGTGCATTTGATCAAGCCTACTACTACCAGTAGTTTGCAAGAAAAATAATCTGGACTGATGCATGAAATGAATCTCAAAATAATTTATCAGAAAAAAGCTTGATCTCCAACAAGCTTGATATGTGTCACCTTCATTATTTAGAAATTATGAAAGCTCAGAAAACATTAATCAAGTGAATACCAGCAAAATATGAAAAATACAAATTCTGAGTTTCTGATGTGATGAAATGGGTTTTCATTTCTCCTGTCTTCCAAGTGTAACCAAGTTAAGTGTGTAAGATGAGAGATGCATGTTTGACTCCTATGTAGCTTCTGCTAGGAAAGAAGCTTCTGCCCTCCAACACAGCAAAACCTCTGGAAAAATGATGGATTCTGAAAGGCACAATCCCTTTAGTTCTTCACCACATTAAACCAGGTGAGCTGCGTGTGAGCAGCTTCACTCATAAAATCTGATTTTGTACTAAACAAAGAATAAAAGTGATACAAATGAGAAGATAGCTGTCTTTGGATGAGTATTATTCAGTACAATTCACTGTCGAGAGACAGTGGTATCTTCCAATTCCTTAGCACAGAGTAAGACTTAAAACAGACCATTCCAGACAGCGATAAAACATTTCACATTTTCCTTGAAAGAATGAAGACCATGCTCTTATAAATTCAGGGGGGAAAGCACAGGGAAGCCATCTTACTGGTTTGTATCTCAGTGCATCTCTGTAGGAGCCGAAGAGCGCTGCCTGTGCCCGAAGGAAGGCCCTGGCCACTCCGTCGCCCGTGGCTGTCGACTGCTTCTTCAGTTTATTTTTCAAGGCCGAGACCTGCGTGACACAGTGGAACAGTTAAATTAACACCTCAGAAATTGGTACAGCGAGGTATGAACTCAATCAGCAGGCAAGCCATAGTGTCTATAGGTCAGCCAAAAATTCATCCTCCTCCTTGATAGCTTATCTTTTTAACTGCAAGGAGCACCTGCTGGTCTGTTAATTGAAATGAAGGCAGGGGATGATGGTAGAGTGCTAATGCAGATTGGTTTATGATCTCTTTTTTTCCCAAGGCCTCTTGACATAAATAAGCTTAATTATTTTACAGTAAAATGCACGTGAGTCACTTTATTGCAGGGTTGTTTTTTTTAGTATAACATGTATTTGCTTGCTTGAATATAGACAGTTGGATCTGTTTTATTTAAGCTATGAAGGTTTATTTTCAAGGACTCTTAATGGTCACATACTATTCAGTGCCAAGGAGTATCTCTTATTTTAGGTCAAATTCCTATCTTACATCATTTCTCATGCATCATGGGAGTACCTGCTACCACAGTCAAATAGCTGAGAAAAGTTTTTGTGAATTCAGTGTTACACTGCCTTTAGAATTGTCCTTGAAGATAAAACACGTGAAAGGGAAGAAAACAAAAACTGTAATTAGGAAATGTCTGCTATTCAGAAGAAAAAAAAAAAGAAAGAAAAAAAGACCATTCTGATTATAGTGGTCGACTTTTTTAAGGAGGTTTGTCTTTTTTTACTTGGCAAATAATAACCACTGGTTAAACAGAATTGGAGAGTGAGAAAAAAATGAAAGGGGGGGGAAATTTTAATTTAAATAACTGTCACTTGGACATACTTTGGAGGAAAATCATATAATTCTGGAATTGTAACAAGATATGTGGAATTATACTCAGATATAGCCTAAACTCTCCTAATTTCCATTAGGAGGGACACCTGGAAAATAAGTCAACTCTATTTACATAGAATGCACATTTCTACAGCCCCTTGTATTGCAACGTACTCAACACAGCATTGTTTAAGCCCCTAAATAAAGTAACATTCCGAGTAACTATTGAAGTGGAATATTATAAATACAAATTTATCACCAAAACAGCTTTCATTCTTTTGGAAATATATGCAAGAATGAGTATCTTTTTGTTTCTTTATGCAAGCAGTCCCGACTGCTCTTGTAGATGATGATTGTAATTGAAGTGTCAACCTAATTAACAACTAAACTTTGAATAATGCTAATGAGAACTGAACATGGCATCAGAGAAAAGACCAGCTCTACAGGTGATAAACCTTCACAGTAGTGACATTTTCCAGTGTAAAGTCACAGTTACTGTGATCTGATCAAAGAGAGAGACCCCCATTGGGTCCAATTATAACTATAGTTTGGAAAAAAAAATTATTGAGTTATGATGTTCATAATGTATGCAGAAAGGCCTTTACAGTATAGGTCTTTTCCCCATAGCTGTGATCTTTTCAATTTATATCCAAGCTCCACAGATCTAGATAAAAGTATAGAGCCTGATTCGTTTAGCCCATGGAAAGCACACACCAAGGCTCATTTACGTTCTTGCCTTACACCTCAAAAGGAAAAAAAAAAAAAGTACAAGTCCGCGTACAAAAACTGGTTAAGAAGTTCAAGGTTGAAAAAATAAATGCATGTCTTGGTTTTGTGGTCTGATTTTTTTCTTTTGTTCTGTATTGTATGACTATTTCATAGCTGTAAAAAATAATATTTAATTGTGGGGAAAATAAATGCATACATGGAAGATCTGCCTATAGACAGTAGCACTGTTTGACTAAAATAAAAGCAATAAAATGAAGTCAACAAGAACTGTCAACGTTAAAATTTTGTCTTTGTCAAGCCTGGCAAAGCATCTTCTAAAAGTAAGAAAGGCAAAAGGTAGGAAAGTCTCTACATTTTTTAAAAATCTATATTCTTCTAAATTATACCTTATGATTTTGGGAAAATTATGGCACATGAGAGGACAGGTTAAGAGAAGAGAGGGGGTAAAGATAATGGAGCAGAGGGATTAGATGACCAAATGGGGAACATGAATGAAAAATGTACTTTCTAATTTTCTCAGTTCTGGCAGGCCCTAAGCACCCTATTGTAAATTTGATTAACAGGATGCTTTAGGCAAAAAACGTGTTAAAAAAAAACAACAGAAAACAATCTCCTGCTCTGCTGCCACACTGGTGTGTTATTAGCTCAGCAATGTTAAGACCTTCCTATGGGCTGGCACTTTGGAGGCAGGCACTCTGGACAGATACACATTTTTGTGTGCTGTCCTGGAGGGAGTTGGAGCCTCAGAAAGGCAATGCTGGAGTTCAAAGAAAGCTCCTCCAACTCCGGCTTCTCTCAGGGGGCAATGCTTAAAGGCAAGAAGAACTCCACCAGATTGTTCTGCAGAAGAACCAGGAGCGTGGTGCTCTAAAGAAGAAGCCTGCAGAGATGATGTGAGTCACTGCCCTGATGTGCTGCTGTCCCAAGCAGGACCCTGGCTGCAGCACACCTGGAGTGCCCTTGGCACCTGCCCTGGCTTCCTCCAAGCTGAGGCCAGTGAACACACGAGCAGAGGACAGTGCTTACTCAGGGCCCAGCCCAGCCACACTTGGCTGATGTCAAATTCTCCCGGCTCCACATTGGAATCAAAGACAGAGGGAGAGTGATAACACAGTTATTACTGCCAGCACAGCAGGCACAAGTAAGAGACAGGGTGCACTGCACTCCTTGGAAGGACCTGGTACACAGCAGGACTGATTGCTCAGCTCCATGCACCTCAAACCAAGGAAATGTGAGACCCCTTTAGGTGACATCATTAATAGCACTTTAAATTATTTTAAAGTTACATGATTCTGACACCAAGCCAAAAAAACAGCAAGTAGCATCTGTATCAAAATCTTTCCCTCATATATATTTTAATCCATCTTCCTAACTATGATTAAGAATGCCAAACATTTTTCATTGTATCTCTCTTGCAGAAATAGCCTTTTACAAAGTTTAAAAATAAAGAACTGCAAGCAACAACAAACTGCAGGGGTTAGTATGCAGTTAAAATTAATCTTTGAAAGACACCAGTGATCCGATGCAGAAATGGTATTATTAATTTACACTAGAAGCAAACTGTTTTTATCTTCTCCTAGCAACAGCTTCTCATAGGAAGGTGACTTCATTGGACTGCTAAACACTGCCAGTGAAGAGCAATCAGAACTTGAGGAAAGTTTAAATCAATACAATAGTTTTTCAAAGATACAGATGAGACTGATACGTAATTAAGTGTACCTAAAACATAGAAACATACTGTGTTGGTCATTGAAACAAAAAGTATCATTTATTTAAATGGTTGCCATACAACCTTTCTAGGACTCCTAAAATCTAAATATCTGATAGACAGAAAACATGACTAATATTGCTTCAATATCCATGTGAATAGAAGAATCACATAAAATTAAAAAATAATAAGATCACACAGCTATTAATCAAAGTCTTTGTTCCTGGAAAAACTCAAAAGCACACATAAATTTAAACACATATAGAAGAATTATGTTCCTATATGTTTGTTATCTGAGGAATATAGAACCACACACTGGAGTTTCGAATGACTATTAGACCTCTGAAAAAATATATCCAGATATTTCTCTGGTATTAGCAACACTTGTTATGTTTTAATGTACTTTTCCCCGTTCTCTGTCAGATGATACCACTATAAAAGTAGGTAGAAGCTCACTCTCAAAAACAAGAAAGTAAGAGAAGATCGCAGAGGAAAAGAACAAAACAAAAACCTCAAAACAAACCAGAGACTGATATTTAAATCAGTATTTCTAGTAAAGGGCTTCTATATATTCGATTATTTGATTATTATCTACACACAGAGGATTTAGGCATCTCCAGCATTTAATCACAATTTCACCATTTTGACAAAAACAACTACTTAAATGTAAATGTTTTCAAAACTAGTTGAACTTCTCAATCTCATATTCTAGCTCCTAAAACTATACCAAGGTTCAACAGAATCTCAGCTCAAAGAACTTGTTCACAATAAACAGCTGCCTCATAACACTGCAAACACTGCTGACCACTCTGAGTTTCTAAAATATATTAGCAATATTTTTGGCTATTTTCTGATGGAAAAAAATCATAAATTATGCTACTTATATTTTGCAAAAATTATTTTTAATTGCATTGTTATACATCGACCTTAATTTCCTTATAATACCATTAATCATCATACTTTAAGAAATAATTTGCACTCCCAGTAATCGCTGCATAAAGTAACCAATTTTCTACATGAATTACAGCCCACTTCTCAAATGCTACTTTTAGAACAGCAATGTTCATATGCCAATTTTATGGTGTTAAAATCCTCTGACTTTAAGAACCTCAAAACTAATCTAAAGCCCAGTTTAGATTCTGTACTGCATCACAGTGTGTAAGTACCAGGCAGTACAAACACTACACATCTTTCAACAGCTCTGTAGCTTTTGCAGTTGACAATATTAAACAACTCAAAAGAAGCTAAAAGACTATAAAATTTGCTGCTTTCTGAAGATCATCTTTGTAAAAGTTCTGCTCAGTCTGTGATTTCAAGTCATGAAGACTTGGTTGCTAAAAGTGATGCTGTCAATTCTGCAAGCTGTTTGGGAAAGTGTTTACATGTGAGCAAAAGAGAAGTCTTTATGTCAGAGTTAAGTGCAAGCAGGTATTGCAGGGTCAGGCCCAAAATTTATAAATTTCAGTCTGTGGTCACAAACGTTCTTATATTATTAAAAAGTGTTGATCTCAGTATTATTATATTAGGAAATTTACTCCCAGAGATGTAGCTCCTTACTTTCTTTTTCTTTTCCTAATTAAAAAATAATAGACAAATTCACAGTGAAATGATGAAATTTAAAAACAAGCTTTCTTGTCAGGAGAGCGAAAAAAGAGGGGCTTTTCCCCTTCCAAGAAAACAAAGGATTCCTGAAAGTCTTGCCCTGATTTATTCTTCCAATTTTAAATACCTTAGGAGTAGCGGAACTGCTACTGGCATGGTAGTATTTCTAACAGTCAATAAATCTAAAATATTATGTGTGAATATTGGAATGAAGCCATTAAGAAGATTACAGCATGCAACGCAGCAGAGGGTCCTCATGAAAAAAGGACTGGTAATTCAGGACAACTGTGACCACTGACCTTTGAACAGTCAAGACCACTGGTCAGTCTGACAGAATAATAGAGTTCACATGCATGGAAAGTCATCTAGCCTGTAACTATAATTTAAATACTTAAGTGAATGATTTAAAAATGCCTTTAAATCTCAGTTAATTTATTATACAGTTTATTAGACAATGCCATAGAATAATGTTTCTTTCAATCTTAAATTTATCATGAAAAAATTCATTATCAGAGCATATATCCATGGGTAAACCATTAAATACTTATGCTGTGAGGACATCATCAGGCTTATTGATCAAGAAAATAATTACTTTGTTCCCTCTGGACACAAGAAACAGTTTTAGAAATTTGGAAAATACTGCATTTCTTTCGTTAGGCTGTTAACCTGGAATCAATTTTTGAAAGGGACAATAAGACTACAACTTCTTTTATATTTTCAGTTCTTCATTCTATTTTAATGCCTTTCAGAGGTACTCATATTTTTTCATCTGAAGTTTTACTACTTTTGTATGTATGCTTATGAGGTTTCCCTATATAAGTTAAAATGCTTCACACATGTATCTTTGACATTCCCTTTAATGTTTTAACTCTACACTCCTGGGCCTTATACTTTTCCCCAGGATGTCAGCAGCTGCATTGCCCCTCATGAATGCAAAAGGAGGACACGCATTTTGTCACCTTATGAACCAAACACAGCCTTGTGCCTTTTGTTTCCAGGGTTTCCAACTATAATTGTATATGCATTCCACCAAAATGTTTAATTAAAGTGCCTTACAGATTGAAGTGAAGTAAGAGATAGGATTATTCAAATTAAAAGTTTTGGTAAAAAATCCTCAAGATCTGGATGTCTATTTTGCATAGGACACTGCTATTTTCTGTTTTATATTAGCTATGGAAAAAATATTGTAAGTCTAGTCTGTAGTCTGTATACTTGGATAACCTACATTAAGATTTGCAGTAAAAACATGCATATATTCTAGGAGAAAATACACTTCTAGAAGTAGGAAGATCTGTATCCCTTCCTTCATGCTAGCCTGCTGATTTAGAGGTCATTTTGATATGCACCTGCAAAACACATGACAAGAGCCTCTTATTGCACAAAGATCCATTCTGGCTGTTCGAAGGACCTCCAGCTGGAACTCCAGTATCTCATGGAATATGATGCCTAATTCTCAATTCCACATCCAGCTATTATCTGGCATACAGATCTTCATGGCATTATAACATCAACCCTATTCACTCAATGCAAGTCCAGTTAAAACTACTGACACACCAGGAAATTACTTTTTTTACTTAACTTGTTATACTCTCAAAGGAGTCAAAGTTACTGTATAGATGTTTGTGCATATACATGTGCATACATACATATCCATACGTATGTAAACCTCAAAACATCACAAAATATACCAATGTAATAATAAACACACTAATGTAAACCACAGAACATCACAATAATTTTTATAGCCTTTAACTTCTGAACTATAATTGATACTAAGCCCAAAGACTGATCAGATGATCTATAAAAATTTTTAGATTTATTTTTAGATCTTTGAAATCAAAGGCAGTGTCACAAATATTATCATCAACAGTTTGACTTCTGTTGTACTAAATATATACAAATTACCAACAATAAAAAAAGACACAGTATGCCACTATAGGATCTTACTTTGATTACTATGGGTTTTTTATGAATTACAATTTCAGAAAATGTAACTCTTTGATTTCATATTTTGATATAAAATTCTTTGTCTTGACAACTATTTGTGATAGCTTGTGCATCTTTAATTGAATAATGAAAACAGTGGTTTCACAATTATATTCTTTTAGAGCTCTATTGGGAAAAACAAGATAAGTGAATTTTGTGACTATTTAAAATGATATACAGAGTATGTTCCCCTATAGGCAATAAAAAAAAAAAAAGGAAAAAAAAAAGAGGGGGGGCACCCTCTGCAAGATCAAAGTCCAGAAAGAACTGGCACTTAATTTATCATCCTTTACAGACAAAAGACAGCTTTCGTCATTTCAAAAGGATCAGATGTCTTTTATGACAAACTGGGTTTGCAGTTTAATTTACAAATAGAATTCTAAGTAAGCAGTCTTTGCTCTGCCAAAGCAAATGACAAACAGTACAGGTTTTCATTCACGCAGCCCTCAGCAGGATATAAGACATTAAAATAAAACTGAAATAATTTAGAGAAAACAAATAAATGTTTCACAAAGTTGAGGAAGATCAAAGCCTGAATTTTCTGACCCCAACTGTACAAGCATTTCTTATTATATTGACCAGTGCCATCAGATCATTAATTAAAAGGAAAGCGCTGGCAGGTGGCAGGGAAGCAGAAGCCGATAATTGGCCCCCTTCTTCTTTTTGCCTTCAAAAACTCCCTCGTTCTTTTGCAAGACATGCCACTAGGCAGACAGAAATGCCTACTTTGTAATATAATGATTAAGATGAGATGAAGAGACTCTTGCGTTTAAAGCAGCTCTGCCTAATGAATGCAGCTCTAGCTTTGTAATTATGATCCTACTTTTACAATAAGGAATATGATGTTCCATTCAACGTCTCCTCAGCTGTCAAAAAGGTAAAAATCTCAAATATAGGGGTCTGCACTAGGTGCTTTTCACCCCCTTATTCGTTTTATAGCAGTTAGCAAAATGAGGCAAAAATAACTATCAGTAATTCAAGCACCTATATAAGAAAGAAAGAATGAAATGTCTAAGACTTACCACTTCACCAGGTAGGTTGTTCAGGTCATTAAAAGGGGTTTCTAGAGTGTTTGTGTCAACATTTAGTAAAACCACATCCTCCAGTGATCTATTTTTTACTCTCTGTTAAGAAGAAAAAAAATATTGGAAAAACAATTTACTATGGTGTTCTCCTGAAGTACATTTTTAATGTAATGTGCTAAATTACAAATGATGATTTAATACAAAGGACAATAATGGCACAAAACATTAGGAGCTTTAGATGTAGGATTTGTGAATTAGATACAGCACTAGAGTAGCTTTTAAAAATACTTCTTATTCTTCAAACACTAAGGTTATATTAATTACATCTGAAATGAATTCCTGAAAATCAAGACTTACACAGAACACAGTTGAATATATTGGATAAATATATATTCGAACTATACATATCTTGTAACAACATTTCATTCTCTCATATTTGTGAAAATTCAGATAGGATGTAAATCATATAATCAGATGAAAACCAGCAAAAAGTACAATTATATGCAGATTTATGTAAGCACCAAGCATGTGATGCCTCCTATTACCACAGAAGAATGGATAAAATGCTTTTTCATCAATGTACTTGGCTAGCAGCAAAAATTAAACAATTTGTTCCTTTCAGGAAAAAGGGATAGAACTCTTTTCTATATGGTCCTACAAAAATACATAATAAATGCAGGGCAGGAAATAATTCCTGAAGGAACTGACTTCATTTTTTCAGGGCAAATCTTTCAGTTCCATTATTTCCTTATTGAATAAGACAAAGCACCCTTATCCAGATATTAAGACTGATGCATATGAGAGGAGTTGAGAAGTGCAGATGATATAGAAGGCCTGGTTTTGGAAAAACAAAAGTGCTGATGGCTCAGGGAAGAACCCACCCTATCAGCTTAGCAGATGTGAATTGATCCTTAGAAACACTGCTTTAGCAGAAGTGTAAATCAAAAAATGTTCCCAAATCAATTATCTACTCTGCATGATAATCAGATGGCACATGTAGGCTTCACAGCATAATCAAATGGTTATGGAAAAAGCTAAAACTATTTCATACCCAGTTATTATGCACCAGTTAGGTGAGTTCTATTGTGTTGCTTTATGTTCAAATCTGTAAAAGCTACCTCTTGCTTTTTGGCAAAAAATGCTAATTTATAAATTAATAGTTAGAAATGTTATGGGATGGAGGTCAGATTCAAGTTTTCAAAGGGACAGGAACCTAAATTATCTGGGAAATCACAATAATTCTGAAATCTGAGTGATGGTGACTCCAAAATAAATTTTAACTTTTCCTGGAAAATAATTTTTTCCTCATTACTGGGAAAATCTGTTGCTAAAGTACTAAAAGGCAGGAAAATAGTTACCTAGCTAATAGTAGGAAATTAATTAGACAGAGAAACAAATCATGATGCAGAGCTACAGAAAAAGTCTTCATAAAACACTTCAAAAGTAAGATTTCAAAGAGAGATATTTTTTACTTAGTAAAGCATATGAAGCTTAATTTTTTTAATTCTGCATGCTAAAATATAGGCATTTTTTTCTGAAGCATTTCCATTAAAATTTTTTTATGGCACACACACCTCACCCTTCCCAGTACACTGAAGTGTGTAGTAAACTTACCTCTATCAAGCTCAAGTGGACACCAATTAGATAAGGCATCGGTGCACTGACAAAAAAGAGTGGAAAACATCAAGTGTTAAGTACAACACTAATGGAGTATTTTAAATCTTGGCACAAAAAAAATTAGTAGAAAGTCACTGTTTAAGACAGTATTAAATGAACACAGCTGCTACATGAATGTTTACTAGACAAGGAAAATTTTGTTTTATTCTGCAGTAAAGATGACCACAAAATAAAGGATGCTGCTGCAAACATGAGGCATGAGCAAGGAGGCCCCACAGCCCTGCATCCAGACCTATTCAGTAACTGACCACAATCAGCTACCCCAGCACATATTCCCAAAGTGATCTGGGTTTAAAACACCAACTGCAGGACATGGTCCTGATTACCATCACCACAATGCAACACGAACATCACTGCCACCAGTTTTGGTTCTGAAACCTTCTTTGGCAAGCCTTTGGAAGCTGTATAATATCCTATTTAACTCAAGATAATGAACTTCTCCTTTCCAGTTTCCAAAAGACAACGAACTATATTCTCCAAATAGAACAAATTTCCACACAAAGCCACTGCAGTACAACCTCCTGCAGTAAGCAAGCAAGAAAGTGAATTAGGCTAATTTATCATGGTTTCCTACAATCTGCTGTTCTGGCAACATCTGACCAAGAATATACCCAGTGTCCAGCACTGAAGGAAAAAACCTCCAACCACCATCATGAGATTTTTGGGTACTGTGAGATTACTGACCATATTCTCTCCAGACAAGTGAGCAATTGACAGGTTAGTTTAAGCAACTCAATGGGAAATGAATCACTAATAGACAACAGAGAAAAAAAACCTAAATAAAAATAATCTCTGAAAAAAAATGGAAGACGACATACAAAGGTACACAACTCACATACAGTAATTTCTTCCATGGCAATAATTTGATCACAGATCTGAGCCAGTGGCACTGACTGATTGGTGACTGATTTCCCAAGGATGGGTAAGGTTTCACTGCAACAGTTCACGTGGTCTCATCCATTTGGTCCCACCTCTGGGACCAGAAAAAGCAATTCTCACCTGCCTATGACTACAGCCCATTTTAGAAAAATCTGTACACCCTATGGATTAGCCAATTGCTCTCATTAACAATGTCCCACAGGAGAGGATCAATGTAAAAAAAACCCAAAAAACAAAAACAAAACAAAACAAAAACCAGTGTGAGGCCCCTACAAGATTTTATATAGGTTTCCTGAAACTGCAAACTGTCATGGTTTAAGGTTCCAAGGCAGTGGGGCTTCCAAAAAGGAAAAGAGGCCTCTACTTTTCCACACATCTTTTTCTTAGCCCAATACTGACAAGTTTTAGCACTTCCTGATGACTTCACCTAGGCTAATCCTTATGTCTTTGTAGTTCACAAATTACATGGAATTGTAAACGAGTGTCACTCCAGAGCAGACACTCATATATATGCAGTGAGGATTTAAACAGCTTTAAACCACTCTATAATTTTAAGAATGCTTTGTACTATGTAATATATTTAACCAAGCCAATAAGAATGATTATGGCTGACACATAACTGAGAGTTCTGCTGCAGAATATGCAGCAAAATAGATCTTCAGGTTCTTCATACCAGGATATCTCAGTGTTACAAATAATGTGAACAGGCTAAACTGCAGTGAAAACAAGTGCTATGTCATGTATGCATTTTATGCACACTTGTTTTCTACATTGACTATATGAGATACACTCATACATCAGCCTGTGCTGACTTAAGATAGCTGATGTTGATTTGCTCCATTAATAAATCTGGCAGTAAAAAGGGATACATGTAGCTCCTTTCTCTACAGAACAAAGCAACAGCTACATCATTTCAATTCTTAAGTTAACAGAATAAAGATACAAAGCACATCTTCAAAATGAATGAAACAAAAACTGCAGGCATTGAAAGTCAATTTAATTGTTTTCAGCAAAAAGTGGATTTTATTATTGCTGGATTCTCAAGTCTTAACAGCAGAGGTTTGTAATATGCACATGAAATTGCTTACTACGATACTACTGGGAGCTACTACAGAGTTTTTCTCTTGCTTATGCATGTTACCACCAAAAATATCAATCTGTGGTATCACTGCCCAAAATAATTACTATGTTATGCAAAACATCCAAGTTAATTGGAAAATAATTGTGCCATTCTCACGAAAGCAGGCATATGTATATCCTAATTCAGAAGAGACTAAATCTCATAAAGACCTATTGCAATTGTCACTTGAATTTTCTGATTGCATTATATTCTCAACAGAGCACCAGTAGAACAGATGCTTTATCATCCATAGACAAAACTGGCATATATTCTAATATGAGTGATTTAGTTTGCCAAGATATTACACAGCAATTTCATTAAATTAGATTTCTCCTTTACAAAAATTCATTTTATTCAAATATAATTACAGTATCAATGTTCAAACTTAATTTTTGTAAGAGTTTTCTTGAAAGCCAACCACCCACTCCACTGAGTGCAATATTCTCCTTTTACTTAAATGTAGAAGAGAAATCAATTTTTTATAACATAATATATAACTCAATTTATTATTAACTGTGTAGTGGGGTTTTTTCTTGCTGCAGCAACAATGAATATTACTTCCTCAGCCTATATTTTGCTATCATTTAGAAAAAGGAATTGATTATATCTCCTTTTTGGATGGTCACTCCAATTCTCACACTGGAGCTCCCATAATGGCATTAAGGCCATGATAAGCTGTGTGGGGGTAAAAAACCCTCCTGAAGTTGATAAACAGAACCTCTGTTCACACCCTGGAGCCTGGCACTCACAGCCTGGCCAGTCCTGAGGATGTTGCAGTCCACACTGAACCCCTGGTTTGGGCTACTCCAGAATCATCTGTTACTTTAGGTCTAAATCCAGCCTGTAAATCAGGCAGCAGGATAGAAATTAACTAACTTTTTAATTAAAAAGGCAAGTGGAAGAATTGAAATAATTTTAATATAGCCTTGTTTTGCTCAAAGATACATTTTTCTTTTTTCATGCTTACAAAGTGTACCAGCTAGGCACTTTATGAAATTAATCAAATTCTAACCCCCACAGAATTGTATCCATTATCTTTACTATATTATTAAGATTCTTATTCCAACTAATTTAAAAAAAAAAAGGGTTTCTCTCAAAAGATGCTATAAGATGAATGTGCAAAAGAAAAAGTTATAGAAACATGCCTATCTTTTAATAATTTAAATGTATTTTTTTAAAAAGCCTTCTACCACAGAATGAACAAATTATCCAATTGATATTCCCCTACTTCATGTCTTTGAATACCATTTCAGAACAACACTATGAAAATGAGTTCATGAGTTGGCAGACATCCCAACAAGTCCAAGTGAAACAGTGACAATGAAATTTCTAGGTATGAAAATGCATGTTGAGCTAAAAGGAAAAATGGCATTTTTATAAAAAGAACTTTGCATCAAACTTATACAAAAAAATAGAAGCATACAACTTTTATATTCTTTCACTATTTTTAAATTGGCACAATCCTGTTGAACTGCAAACTAGGTCAGGCCTACTACAAACTTTGACCTTAAAAATTCATCAAGGTTTTTTAACTTGATATATTATATACCTATGAGGAGAACATTTATTTACTGTTAGTACACCAGAACATGAGGAAAGGTAAGTAATTTATGTGTTTTTATTACACTTTTCCAACCCGTCTCACAAAAGAACCATTCAGATGATCAGAAAGAGAAATGTAGATGCACAAAAATCTGAGTCAAACTGAATTACAGTTACTGTGATAAATTCATCAGTTGTGTATTTCTTTGCATGAACTTTATGTTTCCTTTTGAACATCTCTAAAACAGGGGAACTTTTTTCTCCACTCTCTTGTACTACTGTGAAAAAGAAAAAGGGATATAAATGAATTTTACAAGTTTAAGAAACTCCATGCTTCTTTTTAATGAGTAAAAAAATTTCTCAGGTCACACCACAGTGACCTAGAATCCCAACTATTATTATCATCACATGGAGCTGTGTACAGCATCTAACATTGTTATTTCTGGAACATTATCTGGGCTTAGAAGGGGAAATAAAAAATCTTCCCATATTCAGGATGCACTCTACAGGGTACAGCTTGAACAAAGGTGTTGATCTGCCTTCTGAGAACAGCATCTATGGATGATCTGAAAAATTACAAAGGTTCTGGCCATAAGCTCAAGCAATACAAAAGCTAAAACACACCCAAGTTCTACCCCATCTTGGTGCATTTTATCAAAGGTAAGAGGAGAAACAATTAAGACAGAGTTTCTTCAAAAGAAAACTATCATTAAAGATGAAAGGCTTAGATATACTTGTAAGCAAAGGGAAGAGTTGGATAAGAAATTTTGTTTTCTTTTCTAAAACAACAAATAATATACACATGAATTATAAGAACTACCACAAAAAAATATATACCATGGACAAATACTGTGAACTTTAGGAAAAACTACCAAACACACTTAGGGCAACATAGTGAGAATTTGTTTGAAAACAAAAGTTCAGTAGACTGGATGGAATTCAGTAGAACACCAACATATTCACAGATTTAAGGGGAAAAAACCCCAAACCAAAACCAACAACATAAAGCCCAGCAAACACATAGGCATATTTTATTTCTATGAAGAAAACATAGACTTAGCTTGGTAAGTATCTGGCTGGGTCCCAGTTTTTATATATAGTAATTCCCAATCTCTGAAACAGCTTGAAATGGTTCATTTTTCCATAACAGACCCAGAGGGTCGAGGTAAAGTGAAAATCTCCAGGGATGGATATCCCTGCTTAAACAGAAAATGGAAACTCTCATTTGTTATCTCTGCCACTACTCTGAATAAAAGCTAGTCTTAGCCTGAAATTGTGAAACACAGGCATGTGGAAACATCATCCCCTTGAAGGATCAGAAGTCAATCAAAAAGTGATTCTTGTTCAACTTAAACATATGCCAAAACCACAAAGTCTGTCATGTGAACAGAAACACATCAGGAGAAGCAGAATTCTTATTATAAAAATTTTGGAGTCCCAAAAGGAGTTTTTAAGCTCTTTTGGGAAGGTGCTGGCTAGAATCCTGAGCCTGGCTGAGTTAAAATACAAATACTAAATCACTGGTGAATACTAACATCTGATTCTGGAAAAAATGATTAGAGTTTTTTTGAATGCTTCTATAAGTATAATGTATTTCAACTTAAAATAAAAGCAAAATAAATGTAAACTGTAACACATTTGCATTTAAATTATTGAATTCTCTTACCAATAAAACAGAAACAATTCTTACAAACAGGATTCTAAATGCTGCACTAATAGTAATCAGCACTGTAATTCAAGATACCAATTCAAACACCACATCAAGGCATGCTGGAATATTCCTATTCAAATCATCATTTAAGCATTGGCCTACGTGCTTTCATCAACTGCATCCTGTATGTTCAGTCACAATAGAGTTTGTGTTCTCATCAGTTACCCAGAATTCTAAGAGAGGTCAGAATGTTAGAAATGGGGAGAACAGGTTAGCTGTCTTACCAGCAGTAGTCCAGAAGATGTGGAGGAAGCACTGGGATGTAAATGTGTTGCCAATACATTGGATATAACAATGCAGCTGACGCATGAACACAAGCAGTTAACTAAAAATAAAAAACACACACACAGAATTGGCAACAAAAAAAAACATGAATAAAAAGAAAATACTAAATCTTAAATTAATTTTAGACATGCAAGAATCTTAACCTCCCCAAACCACCAATTATATAATTTTGTAAATTACTCTGAATTGCCAAAACACATTCACAAAGAACTCTGATGTATGTATGCAAGCACAACATCTGCAAGAAGTCAGGCTAAGAACTCAAGTTAGCCTTCCCTGCTCAGCTATTCCCTTGGAAAAGGGAAATAATCATGAATTACTTGATGCAGTCGTGGTCAAACATGAGTACTGCCATGAACACACAGGACTGAAGTGCACCCCAGTTTCACTTGGCTCCACTGAGTGGGAAAGACTCAGGGGAGTTTTCTGGTCTCCATTTCTGCTATTTTTAACTGGAATTGATCTGAAGCTAAATGAAGCCACAGAACAGCACTAAACTGAGAAGCAGCATTAACTCCTGTTTGTGTCACTATCTGGATTTCCAAACTATCTCAAAAAAAATATGAAGTGAACATTCCCTGTAACAGAAAAGCAACTTAACTACAATTCAAATTTCCCTTCCCAAAGCAGAGACTTCCAAGCCTGGCACAAGGATCATGGAAAATGAAGGACTCCTTGATGAAGAAAGGAAGTGCTACAAACTGTTTACCACTCAAAACAGATATCTCTGGTTTTCTAAAACAAACAAAAAACCACCACAACCACCACTTTGCCCCTAAAAGAAACAAACAAACAAACAAACAAATAACTATGGAATTCATTAGAAACGGGGCAAGTTCATTCCACAAGTGAAGAAAATCATCTTGCAGTATGGAAAGAATTCAAATTTGATCTATCTTTGCTATCAAAGAGTCTTTTTTTATGCAGGCACAGAGTTACAACAGACTGAGGGAAAAAAAAAAAAAATCACACTGTTCAAAACAAGGTAGCCTATATCCATCCCATGTAGCACTACAAACCTCATTAAAAAAGCGGGAAAAAAAATTAAGAGAATGCCCCATGTAGAAGTTACCAAGCTGATGGAAAAGACAAGGCTGTCCTAAAGTTTTATATCACAGCAAAATTACTACCTGAGCTTAACTTGATAATAGCACTGTTTATTAGACATGAACTTTCACAGTAACAAAACAAAGAGCAAAAAATAAAATGTAAATCCTGCCCATACAGCAAGTGCTAAAGCATTATAGATTTTACAGGGGAAAAAAACCAACCCTCTTTGAGGAACAGATCAGCAGCTAAAGCGTTCACACCCTGGCTGTCTTGGACATTTAGACTTGTAAATAAAAAATTACACTACAATTTTGTACACGTATTTTTACACTAAAAATGAAAAAAAGCAGTTATAAAACCATTGCAGCAGGAATCACAGACAATTACAATTTGTGCAGCCTAGTTTGCTCAGCACTCAGATTAATATAACACGATTAAATATGGAAAAGAAGAGGGTCTGAAAGCTCCTGAGGGATATCATTAGGGCAAATTGCCAAAGAATGAAACATGAGCCAGTCAGGAGAGTCTGGAAGCTGCAGTGGTACCAAGGGACTTGAATGTTCGACAGTTGGAGCTTCAGTAATGTGTGAACTGCAGGTTAAGGTATCAGGAGACTCTGCTCACTGACACACAGAATGTCACTATTGACCAGCGAGCTGCCCGAGCCTGACAGCTACACAGCAGAAAGCCAAGGATATCATCATTCCCTATTTAAACTCTTCCTTGCACATTAACATCTCCTTTCTTAGCTTCACACCACACCTCTGCAATTACTCTCATTTTGGACTTATAATAATGGGTATTTTAATAATTATTGGGTTGTTACTAAGAATAGATTTAGGGGAAGAAATAAATGAGTTCCTTCTCCCTCTTCCACACAGTGGGATTTATGAGGTTTATTTCCATATTATCTCTTGTGTAGTTGAACTAATGCTACTGATTAGCACAGTCCAGCTCAGCATTGTTTTTTGCTCTTTCAATTTCAATGAGAGGCTGAAATAAAGCTGAGCATACAGTCATACAGGATATCCCCTGATGTATACAGTTGCCTCCTCCTCCTCTTAATAGGCATTCTTAAATTATGAATTAAGATGACTATACTATTTGCATGAAGAAATTTCCCTATCTTATGCATGTCTGTTATATTTGAATTCTCACTTTAACAGAGGAAGTGTGCAATTCCTTAAAAACATCTGAAGTTTTATTAACCTGTTTTATAACCTGTATTTTAGTGTGGCACTCACACTAGCATCTATTTACCATTTATATATTTTTTATCTACTAGAATTTATTATTTCTAGCAGAAAAAGTACTTACTTGATTACTTACACTTCAAGCTTTTGATGTACTGTTCCTTGCTTCTCTATTTAATAACATCTTAATGTAAGATCTTATTTAAACATTTCCCTCTATGCTGCTGCAGGAGGTTTCCAAATATTTTAGTATGCCATGAATATGTTTTATAGTTTCCTGTTGTATACAGCCTGTAACACAAGCAGCTATGGAATTGAGCTGCTCTTCAAACTGTGTCACATTTTATTATTCTGCAAACTCTGCCTTTAAGCAAATACTGATAAGATAATTATGGACTTCATATTAAAATTTGCATACTTGGTGCAAAAAATATCTTTTTTGGGTTTTTTTACTGTTTTAGTGGTGACTGAATTTCTCAAATGCATTAGTTATTTAAATAACCTTCCTCTTTAACTGACACAGCCACTCCACAGAACAGAATGGGAACTGCTGTGAACCCTGGAATAAGGAACCAGGCAGTTCAGGAGATCTGAGAAAGCTGGGAACCAGGGAGAACTCGACCATTTACATCAGAACTCTACAAAGGTGACACCAGATTTGGGGGTGTCCAACAGTGTCTGTGCAGGGGAGCAGAGCCCAGCAGGCACCTGCCAAAGGCTGCAGGAGGAGATCCTCAAACACAGCACCCAGCACAAGCTCCCAGGCAAAGAAATGAGAATCTGCTGCTTGACCAAGTGGGGCTATCTTATGCAGAAAACAGTTCCTTACACTATTCAGGCACAAAGGCATCTCTCTGGAGTCTGTCAGTTAACTGCTATCTATTCCAAAAGGACTTATCAAGAACTACCTTAAAAAGATACATCATAGATCATAACAATCAAAACAGGTATACATTCTCCTAAATTATCCTGAAGTTGTATTCAGCAGACATTCTCCCAAACTATCTTCAAGTTGTCCTTCAGACTGTGTACAACCCTACCTATTTTTCCACTGACAACTGTGATTCCTTTTACAGGTAGGTTTTTTATTAAAAGCAAAAGCCTCTGTCCAATAAAATTTGCTGTATGTTTTCGTATACACACAGATATATCATTGCACAACTCTGCAGTTTGGTGAAAAATGTTGAATTATAGCAGACGAATGCTGCAGAACCTGGTTTCTGCAAATCTCCTAATTTATTACCTGGCTTGAGGCAACAAGTGATGTTGAGATATCTTCCTGTAGTTCACTGCACTACCAAAGACCTACTAGAGCTGTGTTTCTATCTATTAAAAAATGGACAGACAGTTTTTAAGTAAAGTTTTTGTCAGCTGAAACTCATTTGCCGACACTGATTAGAACTTCTAATATTCTTGCTTCCACCAATTTTGACTTTTAGACTGTTTTTCTCCTTTTCAAAGAATGTCTTTTAGTTAAAAAACTTTTACTTTCAAAAACAAATCTAATTATCTTTTTAAAATTAATTTAAATAATGTGGTTTTAAACTACATGAACAGCATGAGTCAAATGATTTGAATTAGTTAAAAGATAAACACATCTAATTTGAAATCTCTAGCATTTGCACCGGGCATAAGAAGCTTTATGTCTTATTCCACTGTAATAGGTTGATTAATAGTACTGAGTACAACAAACTTTCAGTCTGTTTCTCATCTCTCCTGATAAGATGCTGCAGCCAGAATCAACATGTGAGCTTTCATATCCTGCAGGGAAAGTAATTGGTGTTTTCTCCAGAGTATTCCACTGATTCTGGTAAAATTTTTATCTTCACCCCTGCAAAAAAAAAATTCTGAAACTGCATGTGTGGTGAAAATACAGTCTCTCCAAATAGTGGGAGTATTACAGAGTTTGTTAGCAAAATTCATTGCTGGGTGGCATAAAATTGATTACTACCAAATCTCAACAAGAATGAAACAATGCCCAAATTCTAGAGAACAATGAATTACTTTCTACCTTATGGCAATAAGCAGACAGTTGGGAAGGTTGTTGTTCAAAATCCATGCAGTGATGAACATGAACAGCCGGGAGAAGTTTTAGTTCAAGACTTGATCAAAGCAGGGTTACCTGCTCCTGGGAGCAGAGAGTGCAGCTCCTCCCCTCCCTCATGTGGATGCAGCAGTTCTGATGTGTGTATCTGCTTCCCCATTGCTCACTTCTACCAACTGAATCTTTCTGCTCTGTATTTCAAAGGGACTGGTCCCTTTTTCTGCTGATCTTTTCTCCTTTTCCTCATTTTAGGTCTTGCTAAAATACTGCAACACGTCTGGAGCCACATGACTTCAGCTGAAACGTTTTCTGCAGACTCACAGATAATGCTGATTTGATACCTATTATTCACATAATTTCAATGAGTAACATAAAAAGACCTGTATCCTGCACAAGAGGTACCTGGCCGTTTCTTTCTACCTATATAAATTACTTTCTTCAAAGCCTTTTCTATAATCAAAGGTAAAAAAGAGAAGAAGAGCATAGGTGGCAAGATTTGCACACATTGCAATGCACAAAACAGAAAGACAGAAACTGATTAGCAGAATCTTGTCAGAAAGCCAAAAACAGCAACAGAAGTTAAACAAATGCTAAAGTAAAATTAACCTGTGATACTATACAACCTTTCAAAATCTACTGTAAGCAACTAAAGAACTACTGTGATAAAAGCATTTCCTGAAAAATCATCAAACACTGTCAATCTCTGTCAACACCATGTCCAGAAATGGGTACTGGTGTGCTCTCTCCCTCCTC